ATTGATGAATGTTTGCGTGTATATATTGCTTGCTCTGCTTCATGATGGTGATTTGATCATATCTGACAAAGGTCTGTTAGATCAAAACATTGCACAGTTAAAATTGCAGAGCTTGTAATATAGTGTGCTGATCTTTTGTTTGATTCTTGCCTCAGTTCGTTTTTATGCCACTGAAGTTCTGCAGTCGACCACTAGATGGCAGTGATGACCTAAAAACACGGAGCTGCTGTCAGATAATCACAATCAACCAGTTTCTTAAATACTGTGCACACATTGAGTTACAGGCATTTTTAGCACTTTCCCCTTCTCACGCAGCCTTTTCGCTAATCTCTTTGCTTCACTTTGTCTACCTCTTGCTCTTTGTGATTACTCCGTGTTAAATCAGATAATTCAGTATTTGTGTGGGCCGGTTTCTGTAGTAAAAAATAAAAAAATAATAATAAACGCAAATTAAACGCACAAATAACAATAAAATTATCAATAATATAAGGATCATCGATGTCATCAGATTCTACGTCTAATAGTAGTGTTGCTCAATCCTGATTGGTCCCCGGAAATCCATGACATCATCTTTGTCCAACAGAACCGTGTTCACTTCAAACCAGTAAGAAGACAAAAACACAAATCCAGAAATCTGTCCTGTGAAAAACAACTAAAAACATTAACACAATAACAGACCATCACGTAAAGGTACAAGTTGATCATTGAGAAAAGAAAAGTTTCTGATTCAGGGTGTTAAGACAAAATCCCAAACATCACAAACATCCATTCATCTGCCTATTTTTACGACTCGCTACAGTGTGTGGTTGATATTGTTTTCACTTTGTGACAGTGTGTGGTGTTATTACAAAAGGTGCTCTTGGAGACGCCTAGCGGGAGCTACCTCGGAGGCAGTTTTGAGTACTTTGCCGGGTGTTTATATGTCTGTCTGTCTGCTTGTGGACAGATTTTGCCCACACGATAGCGTCACAACCGTGCAAGATGCATTCACAAAACTTAACAGGTGTGTAGTTGAGATCAAACGGCGAGTTCGTAGATGGGTTTGATCCTGGTGTGATCTAATCCTAAAATGGTCTCTAGTTTATACCTGCTCATCTTCTGCAGGGTTCAGTCCAGTTAGCACACATTGGATGAAAGGTACTTCATTTCTAAAATGAGCTTTCCTTCGGATTATGGTGTTTGCATATCTTTTTGTCCTCATGGATGTATTATAGTTATTGGATATCAAAATTAATAACAAGAAGTTTTCCAGCTTCCAGTTTCATTTCTGTGTTGCGCCGCCCGCTGAACATGCACATTAGTGTTTCTCCCACTGGCCGCTGAGCCAATAGACTTTAAATTGGAATTGCAATACAGACTTAAAAATCCCCCGTTTAGGCTCCTGCAAAGTTTTACAAGTATAATACCTTCATGGACCAAAAATGTACAATCCAAAGTGTAATGATTGACCTCGTGGCAGCACCGTATCCTGTCGTATATATAGTTGCCCTCTCTGTGAGGCTATGATGTTTGTTTTGTAAAGAAACCTAACCAGCTTTGCTGCGTGGATAATCGTACAACCTAAACGTCCGAAATGTACATTAATGTGTGGACACATTTTGGACAACACAGATGAAGTTTGTTGAAAAAGTAATGCCTGTTTTTATTTTTATTCTGTCATTAAGGATGTTTTGTTGTCATTTTTGTTCAGTGTAACCGCAACTGAAAAAAAAAAAAAAAAGTTACAAATAAAAAGAAGTAATGCCTTACAATTTGCATATTAAGTCTATCAAAAGAAAGAATGAGGAACAGCAAGCTCTAATACCTTTACTTTGTGTCAGGCTGCCTGGCTGTCATGCGGTTTTTCTTGACTGTCTGCTATTCATATTCACACGAACATGTTTTAGCTTCACTCAACAGACTGTGTCCATATTGAGTCAATGACGGAAAATATGCTGTTAGTTAGCTTATACTGTATTTTGTCTCCTTATACAACTTTTGTTCTGAACTTCCCTAAAACTTCCTTTGTTGTATCACGAATGCTTTTCCTGTGGTGCAAACTGCTACTGGAACCTCTCTGCATTGCTTTAAAGCTGCACTTATTAATATCTTTATACAAACCACGGATCAAGGCCTATTTGTAACGTGAAAGCTATCTCTTGTAGTGATGATCCCACAGAGAATTACCTCAGCTCTTTGGAGACTTTACTCTCTTTTAGCTTGTTGCTGTTTTGGTTCATCCATACCGCTATCATCAATCTCATTTCCAGCCCCATTAAACTCAGTAAAACAAATACTCAGATAAATCCACTGTGCGCTACTTAAACAGCACTAAATGACAAAACGACACGGTTAGCAGCTAGCTGCGGAAGAGGGAAGAGCCAGATATTTTTCTCAGTAGTTGGTGGAGACCAAAAAGGGACTCCAAATAAATGCTAATGTTGTTGCATCTTTGCCAGATATACAAAGGCAACTGTATGCTAACATTATTTAGTAATAACAGACGTTGTGTAAAGCGTGTTATGCTACTCCCATGTTGCCTAAAAAAACTGTTAATGCAGCTTTAAATGGAAAGGTCACTTAATGTTTAATTCTATGGTTAAGGGACAACAGTTAATATTTAGCCATTCTGCTAATACTGGGACATATACAATGTCGATCAATGTGGTTTGTCCTCGACAAACCACGTTGTAATGACCTGTAAAGATCCTCTGGTAATGTCTGCGTCTAAAATCTGGCAAGAACCTGTGACACTAAAATGTGCTCTAACCATTACAGAGGCTCCAGGGTAAACCATACTGTTTATAATCCCTCATTATTAAAACAGACACTAGGCCTACATGATGTATCCCTATGTTTGCAGTTTAAAAAGACATTGACCTCATATGAAGTCATGTATTATGACTTTTGTTTGTCTAATCAGCCTATGACTAAAATGTGACATCAACATACTGTAGAGAAGTTAAGAGTCTGGAAACTGGGTTGCCCAAACTGCACACGGAACATTAGCAGTATGATATCTTTACAAGCGGGGCTCCCCTGTTGCAATACGCTCTTAGGAATGTTAAAACAAATTAGATTGCTCCGGGCCAAAAGAGTCTGCCATCTTTAACGAGTTCCTCGGAAGAACAAGTACAAGTTTATAGGGGAACTGCCGCTTAACACCGCTGATCTCCCCTTCCTTGTCTGTTGTCTATGACTGTGTCATGAAAACACAGCTGTTGCCAAGGAGATCCCCCCCTCTCTGCTTAATGATTGGGGTCTTTGTCTGCGCCTTAGGCTTCAGGTTAAACATTTTCTTGGCACCCGATAATATCTCATCAGACGCTATGACTAACTCTCATTTAGAAGTATGGGTCTTCTGCAAAAGGCAGTGTCAAAGTCAAAATGAAAGGCAGGAATGGGAACAGTTCCAGAACTTTATCATGTCGTCATTACTGCCTTCAGCGAGAGCTCAACTGAGTCTTTGCATCTGCGACCGAGTGAGTGTGAACCTCTGTGTTTGTCATCGGCTGATCTTGCACTCCTCTGCAGCAAACTGCATTGTTTTTTGGGTGGCCAGTTAAGATCTTGTAGTTGCGGTAACTCACACCTTCTAAAAACACCTTTTATTACCTGTTTATACTGCCATTGACTGCATGCCATACTCCTCACTCTCCACCCCCCCCCCCCCGCTGTTAGGTACAGGTGATAGCACAATGAGGGCATCGCCAGCTTAATCAAACGTTGCCCAACTTGGAAGAAATCCGATCCATCTGGCAACACTGCTCTTATAACCAAAGAAACAATAGAGCGCCAAAGAAGAATGAGATTGT